TATCCCCTGTGTGCCTTGTCGACTCAGTCTCAAATCTGTTATAGGTTACCTTGTTAATAATTGAAATCATTAATTCGGAGACCTTTTTTTCTAATACCGGCGTAACTATATTAATAATATCATTGACATTCTCGTTAATAGTATTCTTTATCGCTTCGTATAGATAAACCAAGTCCTTCTCGCTTTCATCAAAATCAAATTTAAATGTTTTAATATTGAGAGTAGTCTTTACTTTCGACGCATATATTTCTGTTTTACCGTCTTTAGTTACCTCCTTAAGATTTATATTTAATTTTCCTGTTAAATTATCTGCGGAGAAAACATAATTTGGTAATTTTAATAAAATAGTAACAAATTTTGAATTTTTTATATTAAAGTATACAACTCAAAGTTTCGTCTTATATAATTATAAGATCGACTATTTTAATATACCTGCAGAAATATGCATTAATCCCTTATTATGAAGTTGCACCAATAAACGCATGTCGAAGTCATATGTGGAGTCAATTTCAAGATGTTTAAGTTTGAAATCCCAATCAAATTGAAGCTGGTCAGGGGATACGTTAATAGAGGTTGTCTCCAAATCGCAAATTCCTCTTGCTTTGAAATCTTTGAGATTTATTTTAAGACTATCGGTGTTGTAAATAACTAGTTCGTCAATAGTTAGAGGCTCGACCGGAGAAATGTCAAATTCCGGTAACCCTGTACAGACCTTATTCATTGCCTTGTTGACGCTATTCATAATGCATTCAGCATAGTTGGGGTTTTTGCGGGCACATACATTAATGTAGGAGGCTGTGAAGAATATATAAATAAAATTTATTTTAACCTCTGCAATTTTATATTTTTTAAATTATCTAACATAAGCATATAAAATGAAATGAAATATAACAATTATATTTAAAATAAGGTATCTTTTGTAATGTATTTGATATGCAATAAATAGGTGAACACAATTTGTTCCTGATATTTGTAATAAATTACTTCAATATTAAAAAAAATTTTTTTTTGCGGCTGAAGAAGGCTAAGTAGAGCAGAAATATGTACCGCGCTCATCCAATTAGAATAAATTTTATGTTTTATATTTAAGCGTCACCTTATTAACGCTCGTTAGTTTGACCTATTCTACAATTTGATTGTTCTTACATTGACGAGCTTGCCTCACACTGTTAGTTTAAAAAAGTTATTATTGAATTATACAGATTTCATTATTTCAATAGAATAACTATTAAGCCCGGTCTACAATTGCGTAAACGTAGGCGTAGAGTTGTGGGAGTAGTAGTAGCAGTAAATGTTGTACAATAATTTAATCTACAATCGAGTAAAGATATGTCGTAACTTAACCTAACCAGCGC